CCACATTTTCAAAACTGGAAAACAACTATTAGGTTGATTGTCAGGCTTGTTCTAGAGCTATGGATCTTATGAACTAATGAGCAGTAGATTTACTTTTATTTTTTGTTGAATCCACTTCGTGTCTCTTAAGGCATGAGGATTTTAAATGTCTATTATTTGATAACATTAAGGACTTCTTTTCAGCTCTTCATCTGTCACTTAATTCATGGTGGTAAAAGTAAAGGACAGTGGCAATTAAGTACATTTGATTGATTTTCTGTTTAATTCTCAAGGGTAAGATGGAGTTTGTTTGTGGCCTTTGTGATGCTGTGTGGTCATTTGAAGAGGTTTGCAAAATGGCTCTGCTGACTCCTGCAGAAACAACATACATTGATAAAAGAATGTTCAATAGAGTCGCCAAAGAATACTTTGGTGCCAAAAAAGTAAGTATCTACCAATCACAGGTTCTAAGAGATATATGTGCATTCATACTGAAGATGTTTTTATTATTTGTTTGATTTTCAACCAAATTCACTCAACAGTGTCCCGGCTGTGAGAGTTTAGTGGTGAGAGAGACCAGAATGACCTGAGGGTTTGCTGCACAGTGTGCACACGTAACAAAGCAAGGCTTACGAATTCTGCTGGCAGTGTTTGAAGAAATGGACACATCCATCTGAACATGCCGACCACTGTGCAAACCTGAATGTGTTAATCAGCCACTGGAAATCCTGAGAAAGTGTCCCGAGATCACCTTAAAGGATGTTAAGATGGTGACAGCTGTCCCTCTGTCCGTGCCTGTCCCACCTGTGGGTTCTGATCGAGCACAGCACAATTCATGCAAAAGCATCGTCTGTACCCGGTGTAAGAAGAAGTTCTGTTTTGTGTGCTTGAAGCTCTCTGCAGTCTGTATTCATATTACAGTGCTTGCACGATGGTGTCGCCCCAAGACAGACCTCTATACCAGTATGGAAGAGGAAATAAGATGACGTGTGAAAGAATTAACAATGCTGTAGTTTATTTTTCTGTGGGGGATGTATTACAGCAATGTAGCAGACTGTCACTTCAGCATGTACCTTAAGTAGGAAAAAACTGTCAATGTTAAACTTGGTGCAGCCTGATCAAATGCCAGCAGGGTTTCTTTCGCAAAGCTGCAGAATCAAACAGTGTAAAGAGCAAAACTAGTTCAACTCTATAAAGAGCCTCATTTCATATCACAAGCCATTCTGCTGCATTTATATGACTTACAATCTAGATCACAGAAGTAAAAGCTAAGCTTCTCACTCTGAGCATGACATCATGGGAATATGGTGAATTACCCCGCCTGTGACACATGTCCATGTGTAATGTAGATTATTAAATGCAACAGAATATAATCAGTTATGGTTAAACAGCAGTTTTCAGCCAAATGTATATTTTTATGAATTGCAACACAGTATTCAGTAAAGACTGAATTTATTGGTATATTCTGATCTCAAGCCAGTTTGTGAAGGTGACAGTGTTTGAGGACTGTTTGGACTTTTTCAGGGAGCCATATGGGATCTGCTTTAAAATTAGAAGGGGAGCTTGAAAACTGCCAACAACTGGTTTGAAAGACATTCACTGAGTGCAATCATTATTTTAAAATATTTCATACTGACTTCAAGTTTTATCTCTTTCACCATCATGGAAATAATTGGAGCGATAGTTAAGAAAATGGAGGGCTTAGTGATTTATTTGATTCTCAAGACACATTGAGCATCCATAATTATACAGTTTATTTTACACAATGACAGTTTATAACTCAGGGATTACTACTTCTTGTAATATTTTGCTCAGTGGTGGTAACACAAAAAGGTGTCTGTATTCTACCCAAACTTCTCTGTACATGTGTTAGAATTGGGAATAATATTATGCTCCAAATTGAGTTTAATTTCACTTTATTTATAATTTTCATCTTAGTTTTTCTGTTAGGGTCATATATATATATAGATACTGTTTTTTGGTTTGGCCATGTTTCCTCATTATGTTTTTTTGGTATCATTTCTGATCAATATAATGTATGTAGGATGAGAAACCAGCTGATTGATATTTTTGAGCTGCGTTTGACCACAACAGGTTATCTTTATGTTTTCACATTACTCTGTTCAATAAAAATTGTCATAAAAAGGCATTTTTTCTCTGACTGAATAACTCTACAATTACAACGCAGCCTTCAGATAAATCACTAAGAAGAGACAAACAAAATTATTGAACAATTAAAGTTTATAAAGCCGGTTTTAGAGGCTGTGTTTCCTACAGATTACTGTGTTCATCTGTGCTGGTGTGGATCCTGATCCTGCAGGAGCAACATTTTCTGTAAGACACCAAGACTGCAGCCAGGAGACACACGGCAGCAGTGATGCTGAGAGATGTTTTGACACCGAAGGACAAACAGGTCCAGGTCTGGGCTGAAGTTAAAGTCCCATATGGATCTCTGACCAAAAAAGAAATACAGTGAAGTTAGAACGAGCTCAAAGTTGATAGAAAGTGCAAGTGTTGTTGCTTGTTTAGAATCACAATCACCTGATGATGGAAGCAGGAAATGTATCGACGGCATCTGAAGGAGGAGTGATGTCAGAGTACAGACACAACCTCCTGTCAGGACAGGAAACTGAACCCTGGTATCCTTCAATCTGACCGTAAAAAGCACAAAAGATATTAGATTACATCTGGTTACATTAAATAGACACAAGACATGCTTCACTACATACAAACATTATACTATTACTTTAGAAAGGCAATAAATCAGCTGCTGTTTTTAATGGTGCACGGTGTTTAAATATGGGAATTACTCAGATTGAGTAACCTGTTTTGTCAATCACACCAAATCTTGTCTAAATGTAAATTATTAATCAAGTCTTAGCCAGGTTTATCGTTAAGGAAAGTCATTCCCTTTCTTTTCTTAACTTTTTATTTGTAACGGGACCATGTACAATATTAAACATAAATGTTTCCATTTGATGCATTGTACCAGAGTCAGCTTAGAGCTAGTTTACATCTGCAGTCCCTTGGCACTATGTTATACTGATTTGTTTACGGTTATTATTTTGCTACTGTGAAATTAAACATTCAAATATGTCGGAGTAATGTAGAAGTATGAAAAGTATTTCTCCACACCACCAGTACTTTAAAACTGTGTTCTGTTTCTGTATTTTTTTTATGTCATTACCTGAATGCTTCCCCCTGCTGGACACTCCACCCACTCAGAGCCTGACACGTGGATTTGGTACCTGTTTGGTCCAGTACACCTGTGTCTGTAACAGCGCCCCTCCACTGTGCTGATGAACGAAGGAAACTGACTCCGGTTCTAAACAAGAGACGAGTGAAGAAAAAAATGACTTAATAATCGACTTAATATGAGAAGGTGGAGAGGGTAAACGTGACGCTCATATGAACATAAAAAAAGACTGAAAGCGTTGGCATGAAAAATAGAATTGATCCCACAAAGCTGCTTTACATCATTTGAAATTACTACAGAGCAGGAAATACTTCTTACTCCATTTTTGAGGGGTTTATACACTCTGCATCCCTCCAGGTATTGATCAGTCTTGCACTCCCCTTTGTGGAGGTGAAGGTAATGACACCCAAACCCACTGAGAAGAAGAAAAAACGCAAAAAATGTAACATTTTAAATTAAAAAGTGGCTTACATTCCTATCCAGACTATATGTTGTAGAGGTAAACAATTATAACTTAATATACCTGCCAGAGCAGAAAAACGATGAGGATTTGTTCTGACAGGTTGACAGGGATCCAAACATGGCCCCTTCTCCTACAAATCAAACATTTATCATATATTTTATGTTTTATTTATTTATTTATTTATTCTTTTTCTATACTTACCGTCTCCCCACACCAGACTCTGTGCCCTGCTCACGTCTACATTGTACCAGCCCGTGTCCTGTAATGCAGTCAAGGTTACCGGGTTGATCCGGACTGAAGATGAGTCCGCTAGCTCTGCTGCCATGATGGAGCCCTGAAAGATCCTGGACTCCCAGTGTGAGGACACTTTGCCAGGAAGTACACCCTGCATTAACAAAGCAGAAGATCATATAAGGGAGGCCTCTTGACAAATCTGGTTAAGTTGGAGCGGTTCTGCAGCTCTGCTAAAGGATTTGAATTGAAGCGCTGTTCTATACAAGGTTTTCTAGCCATCCCCCAAGCTCAGGATCAGTGGAGTTCAGGTGCTTCTGCAGGGCTGAGATGACAGATGGGGTGTAAATCCTCATGTGGCCGGATCCGTCAGAGTAGGTCACTTTCCCTTGAGGAGAACAGTTGGCACTCTCAGCTAAAAAATTAAAAAAGAATTTTTCATCCAGGGTTAAAAACACTTTCAAAAGCATGTGAAGTCACATGGATATCTAAGCACACTTTGAAGTATACTTAAAGATTTCAATGTTTTGTGTACTGTAAAGTGCACACCTAAAGTGCCACATTTTGAGTAAATCAATTGAAGTGGGCATTTTGAAGTATATGTCAAAGTTAACAATTTAAAGTATACTTAAAGGTTTTCACTTTTAAGGGCCCTTCAAAGTGTACACTTTAAGTGCTCTTAAAAGTTCAATCTTAATCCAAACTTCTTATTATACATTTTTTGATTTCCCACTTAAGTGCATACTTCAAGGGAACTTTTAAACAAAATTAAAAGTGCACACTTTTTCGTGAAATTCAAATTGCACAATTGTAGGGGCACTTTATTGCCACACATTAAACAGTACTTAAGAGAGCACACTATTAAGGGAACTTCAAAGTTTAAACTTAAGGTCTCTTCAAAGTGACATTTTTAATAGCGCACATTTTGAAGTGCACACTTTAAGTGCCCTTAAAAGTGTGCCCACTTCAGAATGCCCAATAAAGAGCACACTTTTAAAGGCACTTGAGAGTTTTTAAGGGCACTTAAACGGCACACTTTTAAGCACACTTCACATGCTGACCTCAAAGTATTATATAATCACATAAAACAATTATGTTCAAAAAAAAACCTTGAGACATGGAGGAACAGTCTCGCCAGGTGTGGAAGAGCTCTTTAGAGAAACCCAGCACATGAAACAGCTCATGGATCACAGTCTGTAACATGAACACACAAGATTCAACACACAATTTCAAACTACCTAGAACATTTTTGTTTTTTCATATTTAAAATAATACCTGTACAGCTGCCTGGTGACTAAACGTTTCTCCTTTTAGTCTTTCCCTGCAGATGACCACCACCCCGGCCACAGGTCGTCCAAGTGCATCTGTCTGGCAGTGAGCAGCGTAGGCCAAAATATTAGGCTTAGGGGACAAAAGGACGCAAGGATGAGTATAATGAAAGCATGAGCAGATAAGAATAGCTTCATCTTTCATGATTGTCGATTCAATTACAGAATAAGAAAGTGTGTATGTTAAGTTACCAATATCAAAAGTAATCATTCAGCAAGATCAACTTTGTTGTCTAAATAGGTTAAATTACAGAATTAAATTTTAAACATTCCCTTTTGCAATAATGTGAGAATTTTTTTCCAAGCTACTGTCAAAAGGGATACATTTTGTCTTGGGTTTTCTTGGAGGATTTTTAACGTTAAGACTTTACAAGGGAGAATATGTCAATATATGCTGTTACAAATATTTTGGGGGTGAAAAAATCTCTGTAATGACTAATAAAGATTTGATGACAATGAAAAAGACAAACGTCAGTCAATCTCTTTTCGCTTTTCTGTAATTTTTATATTGTCCTCTGCTGCCACCCTGAGGAATTTTTATCAAAGACAATTGCTCATGAAAACTTTTACCTATCAAACAGCTGAAATCTGATAACATATACCAAAAATAAAGTTTTACCACGATCAATATGATAGATCTCAAAGTTTTCAGCGTGTGTGTACCTTTGCTCTGCACTTGTCAGTGGACTTTATGTGAAGGTACAGCAGGAAGTCTGTGTCAGCGAGTCCTGCACCTCCAGGACGGAGCTCAGTCCTGTGAGGTGAATCAGCATGAATGTAAATATCACATCCAGCAAGATGATTGTCTGGGATCTGTAGACAGGGTTGAAAAACACATTTCATTAAGTGTAGTTCAGGGACAATCAGCAGAAACAGCTACATGCTTTAATGATACTTACCATCACATCCAGACAGGTTTCAGTTCTGTAGTTGCTGTTGGCTCGACCACACCTGAGGCACGAATTGTAGGTTTACCACATGTATGGAATTGTGAATAGACAGTAAATGTGAGAAAGCTGTAGCTTTCCTGCTTAACCATGCTGGATCTTACTGTGTAGAACTCCCTGCAGTGATTGGTTTGGACCCACGTATGTTTCTGGGTGCTGTTGAGCATTTTGAAATTGGCACAGTTATTCAGTGAGTGCTTGTCGTTATCACAGGTAGAAAGGGCAAAACTTATTGGTGACTCGACTGGTAACTGCTACTTTGGCTGGTTCTCCAAAGGATTTGGTTTCTGTACCAAGTAGAAGAACTGAAGCCTTTGCAGATCTGGTCTCCCGTTTCATATCCTTGTGTTTTGGATTGGTATCCTTCCTTGAGCTGCTGCTGTACTGTGACATATCTTCCTGTACCTGGAGTTCATATTCTAACCAGTCCGCTAAATCCAGGAGAGTGGGGATTGGTATCCTAAGTGGGTGGATGAATCGTCGAAAACTTAATCTTAAGTCATGTGGTAGCTTCCCTAGTAGGCGAGAAACTTGCGACCCGCAGTCCAGTTCCACTCTTCCTTTCCTACCCAGCTGTTCTAACATGCTTACCAAAGATCTGACGCGCAGTGCAAACATCCTGAATGACTGGATGTCACCACTTGTGATGTTAGAGCCATCCATGAGCTCGGCAATGCGCTGAAGAGCCAGTTGATGGGGTTGCCCATATTGCTGGTTCAAGGCTGCCATGGTGTCTGTGAAGGGGTAATGAGAATTGCTATAGGAGTCAGCACTGAGCAGTGCTTCTTCCAGTTTCAGATGATCCACTATTATCTGGAATTTGAAGTGTTCTGTCACGTCTCGAGGCAGGATGTTATCTAGAGCAAGTCGCAGTCTGGCAAACTCTCTTGGGTTAGGGTGGATGAAGTCCGGGATTGTAGGCGTAGGACCCCGATATGTCCGTTCCTGACCCCAAGGTGGACTCAATGCCCTGTGTCTGGAGTGATGACGCTCAGGTGAGTACCTATACCTCTCAGGAGAATAATCCCTTTCGGTAGGATAATCCAGATGACGTGAAACATGTCTGCTCTTGTGAAGGGGTTGAAGCCAATCTGAAAAATAGCGCTCTCTGGAATTGACATGGCGCCTTGGAGAATGACGACGCTCTGTCCGACTCCTGCTTGGCTCTGGACTATAACCACGTTCATCTCTTCTGGAATGAGGTGGATGACGGATTGAGTGGTCGTCTCCAAATGAATGGTGGCGATGTCTATCTGGAGGCTGTTCATGTTCCAGGTCGTAGTCAGGATGCCTGGCCAATGGACTGGAATGACGTGTCTCTCTTTCCTGATGGAAGGTAGGTCGTTGGAGTTGTGGCTTGGGGCCACCTAAGTGCTGGACCTCTATTTGAGGTTGCACTGCTTCAGCAGTGTTCCGTTGCTGGCGCTGCTCCAACCTTTAATCACTGTGCCCACTCTGGGCTCTGAGCTGCTCATTCTGTAGTCTGAGCTGCTGCATGGATACTAGAAGACACTAGAAGCATGGATACTAGAAGACTCTCTAGAAGATTCTCCAAGATGGTGCGGCCGTGTCCAGACGCCGTCCGGGTTGCTCCGCTGAGGCTGTGTGTTTTTTTTCTTTATTTATGTTGTTTTTGTGAACTTTTTTACATCAGCTCTTTCAGCAAAGATAACTTATGACCGAAATATGCTTTTGGACATAAAGAGACTGGTCACAAACACAGTTTCCAACGATGATCAGTGGTTGCCGGTCGAATTCCTGCGTAACACAACACAGGACGGGAACAATAGCCGGAGGAGGAAAAAGCATCGCGGAAGACGAGGTGGTGTCCGAAACAGGCTAAGAACTCAGGCCCACCGCCCACCCCTGCCAATCATCCTTCTTGCCAACGTCCAGTCCCTGGATAACAAGATGGATGATCTGAGGGGTCGGGTAAAATACCAACGGGACATGAGGGACTGTAACATCATCTGCCTGACGGAAACATGGCTCACTCCTGTGGTGCCGGATCAAGCCATCATGCCATCGGACTCGTTCTCTGTGTTTCGCAAGGACAGGACGGAGGACTCTGGCAAGTCAAAGGGTGGAGGGGTTTGTTTTATGACCAACAACAGCTGGTGTAACCCACAAAACATTAAAACTCTCTCCAACTCCTGCTCGCCACATCTGGAGCACCTAACCATCCTGTGCCGTCATTTCACCTCCCCCGGGAATTCACTTCGGTCATCGCTACATCTGTTTACATCCCACCACAAGCGGACATGGACACAGCTTCATCGGACCTGCATGACGTGCTGTGCTGGCACCAAAACAAACATCTGAACGCTGCCCTCATCGTGGCTGGGGATTTTAACAAGGCGAACCTGAAGAAAGTTATGCCGAACTTTTTCCAACACGTCACTTGAGCCACCAGGGGCAACAATACACTGGATCATTGCTACACACCATTCAAAGAGGGCTACAAGGCGATTTCCCTGCCCCCACTGGGTAAATCAGACCATTCCGCCATTTACCTTTAGCCAAGGTACAAACAGACGATTGTACGTGAAAAGGTGGTGACGAGGCAGGTTGGGCGCTGGAACGACCAATCAGAGGTTACGCTGTGAGACGCTCTGGATGACGTCGACTGGGGCATGTTCCAATGCAGCTCGAGTGACGTAGACGAGTTTACGGAAGTTGTGACGGACTTCATAGCAACGCTGGTAGACGACGCCGCTCCCATGGTGTCTGTCCGGATTTTCCCGAACCAGAAGCCATGGGTGGATAAATCTATCCGCACCGCTGTGAACGAACGGACCGCTTCATACAACTCGTCACTTCTCACCGGCAGGACGGAGGAATACAAAGCGGCGTCTCACAGACTGAGACGAGCAGTGAAAGACGCTAAGCGGAGGTACAGGGACAAAGTGGAATCACAGTTCCAGCAGCGTGATTCAAGGAGCTTGTGGCAAGGACTGCAGACAATTACTGACTACAGGAAAAAAGCCCATGTCTCGGTGAGTGCAGACGCCGCTCTGGCTGACGAACTTAATGACTTTTATGCGTGATTCGAGGCTAGCGCTAGCACCGCTAACATTAGCATGCCAACTGATGCAGCCAGCAGGATCTCCGAGGCCGGAGCGGCACACTCGCACCCACTCACTGTGTCAGAGCACGACGTGAGGAGGACACTGAGAAAGGTAAACACCAGGAAGGCTGCTGGTCCAGATGGTATTTCTGGCAGAGTGCTGAAATCCTGTGCCGACCTGTTAGCTCCAGTGTTTACCACCATCTTCAACCTCTCCCTGAGTCAGTCTGTGGTCCCCACATGCCTGAAAAAAGCCATTATTGTCCCTGTACCGAAGAATGCCTCTCCAGCTTGCCTTAATGACTATCGCCCAGTAGCACTCACCTCAGAAGTGATGAAGTGCTTTGAGAGACTCATCAAGATGCAAATCTGCTCCTTGCTCCCTCTGGATCCACTTCAGTTCGCATACAGACTGAACAGATACACAGATGATGCTGTCTCCCAGGTACTGCACACCACCCTCACCCATCTGGACAGAAGGAAGGGGGACTATGTGAGACTGCTGTTCATTGATTTTAGTTCAGCTTTCAACACCATAGTCCCCGCCCACCTCCATTCCAAGCTGATCAACCTCGGACTTAACACCTCCCTGTGTGCTTGGATCCTGGACTTCCTGACGAACAGATCCCAGGTGGTCAGAGTGGGCAGACACACCTCCAGCCCCTGCACCCTCAACAACGGAGCACCACAGGGCTGTGTCCTCAGCCCCCTGCTCGTCATCCTGTACACACATGACTGTGTGGCCACAAGCAGCTCCAACATCATCGTGAAATTTGCAGATGACACGGTGGTTGTTGGTCGCATCAGCAACAATGATGAGCAGGCGTATACAGGGGAGGTTGGAAACTTGTCACAGTGGTGCCAGCACAACAACCTGCTCCTGAACGTCAGCAAAACCAAGGAGCTGATTGTGGACTTCAGGAGAAGACAGCAGAGGGATTACACCCCACTGAGACTTGATGGGACGCTGGTGGACAAGGTGTGCAGCTTCAAGTACCTGGGGGTGCACATCTCTGAGGATTTAACATGGACAACCCACATAAACGGTCAGGTGAAGAGGGCGAGGCAGCGCCTCAGACAGCTGAGGAAATTCAAAGTCTCTGTGAAGGTCCTGAAGACTTTTTATTCCGGAGCGGTGGTGAGTGTGCTGACTGGAAACATCACCTAGTGGTACGGGAACAGCACTGTACGTGACCGAAGAGCCCTGCAGAGGGTGCAGAGCGTACCATGGGTACAACACTCCCCACCCTCCAGGACATCTTTACAAGGAGGAGCACAGCCAGGGCAAAGAGGATCATGAGTGATCCCCACCACCCAGGTAACAGACTGTTTACATGGCTACCCTCTGGCAGGCGCCTTCGCCACATCAAGGTGAACACAGACAGACTCAGGAAGAGCTTCTTTCCTCAGGCTGTCCGGACTGTTAACTCCACTCTCCTCAGTTAAAAACAAAACAGAACTGTGACTACATGATGCACACACACCACACATTCCAATCTGCACATTGCACTTTGACACCCTGGACACTTTACACACTGACACTTTACACTGTTACATTATTCTATATTTTACATTTTGTACATTCAAATATTTCTTTTTTTAATTTTTACATTATATTCTATTTTACTGGACCCTGGACACTTTACACACTGACACTTTACACTGTTTACATTACTCTATATTTTATATTTTGTATATTCAAATAATTCTTTTTTTTTTTACATTATATTTCTATTTTACTGTATATATTTTTGTTTTTGCTGTTTGTCAAAGCACTTTGTGAACCTGTGTTTTTAAAAGGTGCTATATAAATAAAGTTATTATTATTATTATTATTATTATATGTGTATTAGTAATTTGAGTGTTTATTGCATGGCCTTGCGGAACAGTCCTTACATTTCACTGCACATCTGTATGAGCATGTGACAAATTAAAATCTGAATCTTGAATCTTGTTCCCTGAAGCCTCTGACACTCTTTCTCCCATGTTGCACCTGAAGAATCCATTTCTCAGTTATCGTCCACAGGGGGCTGTGGTGCTCCTGACTGACTGGGGATGCAGAGTGTGAGACAGCTATACTGTCTAGCTCCTCTTCCTCTAGTACCGGTGCAGATGAAACAGGTGGTATTGTGGGTGGTAACAATGATCTGCATGGAACATCAGATAGGATGTAATCATTGAGATACACGGGGAGGGAAGTCTGTCTCCTGACACGTGTGTCATGTTCCATATCTGCATGGGTAGACATTTTTTTCTGCAGTGGGCTCCAGGATCCGGCTCGAAGGACCACTTGTGAGAAAGCTGTAGCTTTCCTGCTTAACTATGCTGGATCTTATTGTGTAGAACTCGCTGCAGGTGATCGGTAAGAACCACACGTCTTTAATTCCACTTTGTTTATTCGTTACCACCACCACCACAGCCGCATGAATCCTGTTCTCTGATGAATCAGTGGTTCTGCATAAAGTATACACAAAACAGGTAAGTATAAACAGACTTCTTCACTAACAGATACAGTTCACAGCAAAGACATTGTATGACAGGCTTCTGAGCATATCAAAATAGCTTATTCATTTACATCAGTAAGGCAATTGCCCTCTACTGGTCATAATTCACCGTGACTACCTATCTTAATGCCATGTGCATGTCCTGTTAATTAACGAACAGAAATGGCTACAATGCCGCCATTCGGCACATTTCCTTATCAAAAACGTCACCTAATAATCAATAACTGAACTACAGTATATTGCCACAGTCACACAGAACACATGTATTCTCATCTTTGACGAAGATTATACAGTTAGCTGCTAATATATAACCAGTGAGCCAAAACAAACCTGTGCTCCATTAACTTAACAGGCAAAATATATATAAAGTATTGACAAATACTCTAGCAAAGATAAAACATATATTCTCAACCCTTTAACTCACTTGCGCTAGACGCACTTCACATTGGCAAATGACAAATTGGGAAGGATTAACATCCAGGAGAACTTCACAACGTGTTGAGACGACGTGTTGAGTGTCTGGCCAGAGTCAGGGCAAAAGTGAAAGTGAAAGCTAAAGAGGAACACTGGCAAAGACGTCCACCAGAGGGCGCCTTTTTCACAAAAGCAAAACACAAGAAGGAGAACCTTTCCATACATTCTAGCAACTTTAACCAAATTAAAAAAATATATGTTTAACTTAAAGACAAAAAAGAATCAACTCATGATTACCCAGCTGACCTCTCCATCTAACTGATCACAAAAGGTGAACAATCAGAGTCAGAATCGTTTTTTTGTTGCCAAGTACATTTACACAGACAGGGAATTTGTCTCGGTGTTTTGGTGCAAAGCAGTTAACAAAGGAAACAAAGCAAGAAATAGCAATGTACTTAAACAATAAAATAATTTCAAATATATCAAATAGAATTTAACATTGTAAAAATCTAAAAAGCACAAAATGAACATAAGGTGCAATGAAGGAGTTGTTTCAGTTGACAATGAAACAAAGGAATCTTACAGTGTATATAACAAGGGACTTAAATCAATATATTTGCGCCCATACCCTTGTAATCGCTGTATCCTCTTACTCAATATAATCACACAATAAATGATCATGAACAATAGCCAAAAACATAACCTACTACATACCGTAACCTTAAACCTTCAAAATGACACTTTGATTCATTCATCAAAGGTCAAATGTTTTGTCCGATGAAAATAATTTTTGTCCTACTTTCCCTCCAGAATGCACAAGTTTAACCAACATCCTGAAGAAACCACCTTGCATTGCTCTTATCGTTTGTGGTTGTTTATTAATTGTGATACTTGTTGTTATTATTCTGTCGACTCTAAACTTATTTTGATGGAGAGAGTGGGCAGGACTTATGTCAGCGTTGAAGATGAATTCAGAAATGTCTACTTGCAAGTTTCTACCAAATTGATGGTGAACTAAATTACATATTGAGTACAATTGCTTCTTTTTCTTAATCATTGGTTTTAATTTCTGTTTTTTTTTTTTTTTAACAATTTTGATGACTAAGAGTCAAAAGTACATTTGCAGTTATTTGTGTATAGAATGAAACAAAAGATAGCAGTTTCCCATTCAATATTACTGAATAAAGATATGGATTTTAAAAGCAGTATATTTCTTTAAGCGAAGAAAACAACCTTCATTTATTGTAATAAATGTGCATAAAAAGCATTAAGGCCCTGAAATCATATTTTCACCTTTCATAAATATGAACAAATGTTGCTCATGAGGCTAACAAAGGTATAGTGTCCTCTCAAAACTTGAGATGGTGTTGGTGGTGGAACAATGCACGTACAGGTGTTAAGTTCAGGTGAGGAGAAAACAAAGAGGACCCAGCACACAGCCCTGTGGGATGCCGTGTTCAGTGTGAGGGTGAACGAGGTCACCGTCTTTCACAGAAAATTGGTCACCCACCACAAACAACCTTAAGTTTGCAAGAACATTCACTGTAGGAAATAAATAAGTTGATAATAAGAAAAGTTATTTTTTAATTAATGTTATTTTTATGTCACTGAGGCATTTTCCATTTCTGTCGAATTAAAGACTCAATAAAATATTACATCAATCTGCATGATTTCAAATAATGTGTTAGTATATGACGGTCCACACGTTTTTTTTCATGAACTGAATTTTTCTGATTCTCAATGTTTGTTAATGGGAAAATGGAAGTGGCAGGATTGTTTTTGCACAGACACATCCAATGTGTTGGTGTATTGGTAGTGAGGCCAAGTGGCAGGTGAAGCTCAGTTATTAATGTCGAGCACCTGCAGCATTTAAGAACCAATTACTGACTTGTCGGTCCAATCGGGCAGGGACCTGTGGCACCATCACAGAGAATGACCATTCCAAGGACTGGAACTTCTCTTGTGTGTTATTTTTTACATTGCAGTGCTAGTGTTGATCTAGGAATCAAACTGCCATATTGACAGTGGATACTTACGAACATGTTTACCCAGGGTAACTAGCTTTCTGATGCAGGACTATGACAATAACGTGGACCATGGATAAAAGCTTAAAAAAAAGTGCTGCTTCATGAGAATTTTTTAATATGTTGTTCGTGTAGGTCATCATTTTCTATGTGTCCCTTTGTCCTTTTTATTTGTGAAGGTGGATTTAAACATAGTAGAAAACACATTAAAAGTTGACAATCATATATTAATTTGTCAAAAAGCAGGTGGAGCGCTCCATTGGTGCGGAACATTTTTACAAAATTAATGAAAAGAATGTATCCCTGCTGCTTTCCAGTGTTGGGATCAAACTTAAAAGTCATTGAAGAGGTCTGAGGCAGTCAAAGGGATAATTAATAAAAACTTTATTTCATCAGGGCAATGGACTCATAAAAACATGCAGACATGTTTCAGCCAGGCCTTCATCAGAACAGGTACAAATGGCCTCCAAGCTACTTCCTTTAAAGATTTACAACCAGTCACATCATGATATACAGTATTATATATAATTGACTAAATTTACAACCACCTCAGACGACTATGACAACTACAGGAAAAGATAGAGGTCCATTTGACCACTTAGATCATGATATTGCAGAGCTTTCAATGTGTTCATCCAAAAATACTCTCTTTGTAATCTGTCTCCACCTCTAGTTGAGCTTGGTATGTGATCAACTCCTGATGTTTTAACTCTTTAAAAATATCAGGTATCTATCACATAGCCACCTCTCTGAGGGCAGCAGTAAAATAATACATTAATGTTAAAAAATTATTTTCATATAGCAACAAATACTTCAATATGTCTACAGTCATTTCTGTTACTGCTGCTTTTTACCCTCAGATAAAAGGACTCCACAATCCTGACCTTTTCCCCTCATTTCCTCTGCCACACAGGGATGGAGGTCTGTCTTGGGGCCACACCACTGGGACAGATTTTGTATGGAGAACTTGTTTTGTTACACTCAAGCTTTAGTTTCAGACAGACAAAACAGAACTCAATGTGACAGCGAGGGCAGTTGATGTTTTTGCAGTATTGTGAACTGTGTTCCACACTCAGGCCACATTTAGGACAGGCTCGCACTGACGGACAATCAGTGACCCCCTCCACAGCAGGCAGACTGATGGTCTTACACGTCTGCAGAAGTTGAAGGTCCTTGTTGATGCAGCCGTCATTTTCGCAGCGGTCAGATCTGGGGCCTGGACCTTTCCACTCCCTCTGACACAGCCAGCAGAAATAGTATATCTTCTTCTGATTGGCTGTACAGATGGTGCAGTGCACACACAGGTTGGAGAGATCTGTCCTCTCCACATGTGTTCTGCACTTTGGGCACTGGTGAGGATAAAGACAAGACACAGAATACTTTTAAAACAGTGCACTTGAATTGAAAATTAGATTCTGAAATACTCCACAACAGGACGACTCACTGGCTTAATTTCAAAGAATTCTGCAGCAGCCAGACGGGCAATAGTCTCTTCAAAGTACTCCATTTCCTTAACAGTCAAAGCCGTCATTTTGCAAACCTCCTGGTACGACAACAGTTTATTGCACCGTTTGGTACCTTCCACCAATGGTGGAGAAAAATGCTAAGTGAAGAGTAAGGTATGCGATAATAATATGTTCATGTATCATGTTCAGAAAAGTTTTAAAAATGTTTAGAAGGGGGTTTGCATGCCTTTATTTAGAGATTGGACAGTGGGTAGAGACAGAAATCGGGGAGAGAGAGAATGGGAATGACATGTGGGATGGAGCCACAGGCCGAATTTGAACCTGGGCCACTCGCCCGGAGGACCAGAGCCTCAGTGCACGCACCAGCTGGTTCCCAAAGTGTGGGTCCAGGGGCCGTGAGATGCCTTCCAAAAACGTTGTATTCTTTTGTGTTAACAGTGTTTGTATATGAAAACGTGTGGAAATGCTCTACACCCAGAGGCCTCAGTCTCAACCACCTCTAGGGAGAGTGGGGGTCCCCAGTCTCTGGTATCCTTACTTTTGGGGGTCAAGACCTGAAAAGCTGGGGAACCCCCTGCACTAGGCTATTATAAACATTAACATTTTCGTAGAACATACATATGAAATTACAAAGACTATGAACACCAACAACTATATACATCTATCTTTTCTCTTTAAATTTAAAACTGCTCATGGTACCATCTTTGGCATGTGTCACACTGTTTCTGTAAAATAAAATGTGCAAACCTTTATCAACTTGTCAGGAATAGAGAATCTTGTGGAATAGAGAAACATTTCTATAGGCAGGGCAATCTATACACATAATCATCTTCTATTTAGGTTTGTATGTGGGAATTTGTGTCCACTACATTACTCTCTCTCAAAAGTTTGCAGCATGTTTGCAATACAATCCAACTCCTTATAATGTAATTGTATTATCTACTCAACAATTGAGCTCCTATTTCACATGAGAAGACTTAATTGTAATATCATTATTGAGCATATGCATTTATTTTTTAATTTGTGGGGGCAATGATGAACAAGAGGTTGGTTTTTGAAAGAGTACAATCTCTGGTACATGACAGCTTCTTTTTCTTGATTTTGTAAAAATCCTTGTAATTTCAAGCATTCTTTTTTTCCATATGTGCCATAAACTTGCTTACTTTCTATATCTTTGAATTATTAAAAAATATTTTGATAAAGTATCAAGGGGTGGAGGCTGGGTAGGAATTGAATTTCATTGTGTAGTAATCTGCAATGACAATAAAGGATCCATCCATCTATAACTAACAAAGACCTTGGCCCTCCAAATCCTTCATAAATACTGAACGAGAGGTCTTGATCCAGCAGATGTCGCCATTGAGCACCAGCATGAAACCAAAACAACTCGAGCTGCATTGTTGTGTTAGTATGCTAATGGTAGCGCTCTTTTGTTTGCTCGTAGCTTCACACTGCATGTAAATTTACACAAAATGACCATGATCTAAAAACGCTTACGTGACATTCAAATAAGCAGTGAGAACAGTATGTTATTCTTCTTTTCTATAGTCCCTCACTTACAAACAACTTTCATATGCAAGGGGATGAGACGGCCGGCCGTCCCGTCCATGTAAACACGGTGTAGATAGGCTCAGACAACATCACAGACGGGGGACTCGGGTGTCACACTCACTGTAGACAGTCATGACTCACAGAGTTATTTACAGAGGATATACTGGATTTCTGCTATATTTACAGTATGTGTAAAATGTCGCACATTCAGCCTTTGAGACCAAATTTTAATTTAGGAACATCTCTGTATAGAAGTGCTGCCGGTTTGTGCTAAAAGTACAGTTGAGCTCAATACATGACAATAATGTGAAGGCTGAAACTTATTTGATGCATTACATTAACGCTCACTGGACTTATATATTTTCTGTTTACATTGCACTCTGTTTTAGACTGCAAATCATGCACATATCTGCACAACTGCACAGCTCCTCAACATCCAAGTCAGAATAAAGGCTCATTATAGTGATTTATAAGGAACTTTGACAGTGGATTTCTCAAAAAATACTCAGTAGAAGTACTCCATAGTACCGGTGCATGTAGTCTAAGAAGTATTAAGTATAGTCATATCAGAGTCATGGTGTACTTATAGAAGAATTTGTTTTTACAAGACGTCAAAGTCCGAAAAAAAGACTCGGTAATATGACACGTAAGGGACTTTGACAGTGGATTACTCAATAAGTACACAGTAAAAGTACTTCATAGTAGCTATAGCTATAGCTATTCCCTGAACAGTATTTTTTTTACTCCCGTTTCATACACGTGTATCTCATAGCCGGTTTTATGGTAAGACTTCGGCATTTATCACTTTTGCCTGGAAAAGGAGATTAATAACGGACTCGCTCTCTCTGTCTGTTCCTCCTGCTCGCTCTGCAGTCTGGAGCATTTACCATAAAGATCAGAATACGTGAGCACTTCAAATTTAGGGGCGGCTCACTTCACCATGTAAAAGCGAGGAGCGGCTGGTTTGACCGCAGTTAAACGCACAGAGGGCTCCAGATGTAGAAATGCTCTAAAGTCAAGTTTGCAGTCAAATAACAGTCACACTTTATCATCTCGTTTGGAAATACAGTAAAGTATTTTATAAATGTATTTGTTCAATCTTATAGTCCTATGTTTACTGTCTGTTCATAATTCCTTACATGTGGTAAACCTACAATTCGTGCCTCAGGTGTGGTCGAGCCAACAGCAACTACAGAACTGAGACCTGTCTGGATGTGACAGTAAGTATCATTAAAGCATGTAGCTGTTTCTGCTGTTTGTCCCTGAACTACACTTAATGAAATGTGTTTTTCAACTCTGTCTACAGATCCCAGACGATCATCTTGCTGGATGTGATATTTACATTCATGCTGATTCACCTCACAGGACTGAGCTCCGTCCTGGAGGTGCAGGACTCGCTGACACGGATTTCCTGCTGTACCTTCACATGAAGTCCACTGACAAGTGCAGAGCAAAGGTACACACACGCTGAAAACTTTGAGATCTATCATATTGATTAGCCTAAATGGGTCTCATATTTACCATTGACTCTTATTTTTAATATGTTAAAACTTTATTTTTGGTGTATGTCGTAAAAACATCAGATTTCAGAAGTTTGATAGCTAAAAGTTTTAATTAGTACTGGTCTTGGGCGTCTGCTGTTTTGAAAAAAATCCTGAAAAATCCCTCAAGGTGGCAGCAGAGGACAATTTAAAAATCAAAGAAAGGAACAAAATAGACTGACTGACTTTTGAATCCTTAGATTATTGGCATTGTTTGCCTTTTATATTTTCATCACATCTAAATTACTCATTAAATCGTTTTTTTGACCTCCAAAATATTTGTAACAGAATTTATTGACATATTCTCCATTTTAATGTCCTAAAGTTAAAGTTCCTCCAAGTAGAGAAAAAAAATCAACAGTAGTTTGGATAATAATTCTCATTGTCACATTATTTCAAAAGGAAATGTTTAAGATTTAATTATGCAATTTTACCTATTTAGATAACAAAGTTGATCTTGCTGAATGGTTACTTTTGATATAGGTAACTTCATACACACTTTCTTATTTTGCAATTGAATCGACAATCATGAAAGATGAAGCTTTCCTTAACTGCTGATTTCATTATACTCATCCTTGCGTCCTTTTGCCCCCTAAGCCTAATATTTTGGCCTACGCTGCTCACTGCCAGACAGATGCACTTGGACGACCTGTGGCCGGGGTGGTGGTCATCTACAGGGAAAGACTGAAAGGAGAAACGTTTAATCACCAGGCAGCTGTACAGGTATTATTTTAAATATGAAAAAAACAAAAATGTTCTCGGTAGTTTGAAATTGTGTGTTGAATCTTGTGTGTTCATGTTACAGACTGTGATCCATGAGCTGTTTCATGTGCTGGGTTTCTCTAAAGAGCTCTTCCACACCTGGCGAGACTGTTCCTCCATGTCTCAAGGTTTTTTTTTTAACACAATTTTTTTTATGTAATTATATAATACTTTGAGGTCAGCATGTGAAGTGTGCTTAAAAGTGTGCTGTTTAAGTGCCCTTAACAACTCTGAAGTGCCTTTAAAAGTGTGGTCTTTATAGGGCATTCTGAAGTGGGCACACTTTTAAGGGCACTTAAAGTGTGCACTTCAAAATGTGCGCTATTAAAAATGTCACTTTGAAGAGACCTTAAGTTTAAACTTTGAAGTTCCCTTAATAGTGTGCTCTCTTAAGTACTGTTTAATGTGTGGCAATAAAGTGCCCCTACAATTGTGCAATTGAATTAACGAAAAAGTGTGCTTTTAATTTTGTTTAAAAGTTCCCTTAAAGTGTGCATTAAGTGGACTCAAAAATGTATAATAAGAAGTTTGGATTAAGATTTAACTTTTAAGAGCACTTAAAGTGTACACTTTGAAGGGCCCTTAAAAGTGAAAACTTTTAAATATACTTTAAATTGTTAACTTTGACATATACTTCAAAATGCCCACTTCAATTGATTTACTCAAAATGTGGCACTTTAGGTGTGAACTTTACAGTACACAAAACATTGAAATCTTTAAGTATACTTCAAAGTGTGCTTAGATATCCATGTGACTTCACATGCTTTTGAAAGTGTTTTTAACCCTGGATGAAAAATCGTTCTTGTTTTTTTATTTTTTAGCTGAGTGCCGACTGTTCTCCTCAAGGGAAAGTGACCTACTCTGATGGATCCGGCCACATGAGGATTTACACCCCATCTGTCATCTCAGCCCTGCAGAAGCACCTGAACTCCACTGATCCTGAGCTTGGGGGATGGCTAGAGAACCTTGTACAGAACAGCGCTTCAATTCAAATCCTTTAGCAGAGCTGCAGAACCACTCCAACTTAACCAGATTTGTCAAGAGGCCTCCCTTATATGATCTTCTACTTTGTTAATGCAGGGTGTACTTCCTGGCAAAGTGTCCTCACACTGGGAGTCCAGGATCTTTCAGGGCTCCATCATGGCAGCAGAGCTAGCGGACTCATCCTCAGTCTGGATCAACCCGGTAACCTTGGCTGCATTACAGGACACGGGCTGGTACAATGTAGACGTGAGCAGGGCACAGAGTCTGGTGTGGGGAGACGGTAAGTATAGAAAAAGAATAAATAAATAAATAAATAAATAAATAAATAATTAAATAATTAAAAAAAATATATGATAAATGTTTGATTTGTAGGAGAAGGGGCCATGTTTGGATCCCTGTCAACCTGTCAGAACAAATCCTCATCGTTTTTCTGCTCTGGCAGGTATATTAAGTTATAATTGTTTATCTCTACAACATATAGTCTAGATAGGAATGTAAGCCACTTTTTAATTTAAAATGTTACATTTTCAGCACTAAATGTTTGCGTTTCTTCTTCTCAGTGGGTTTGGGTGTCATTACCTTCACCTCCACAAAGGGGAGTGCAAGACTGATCAATACCTGGAGGGATGCAGAGTGTATAAACCCCTCAAAAATGGAGTAAGAAGTATTTCCTGCTCTGTAGTACTTTCAAATGATGTAAAACAGCTTTGTGGGATCAATTGTATTTTTCATGCCAACGCTTTCAGTCTTTTTTTATGTTCATATGAGCGTCACGTTTACCCTCTCCACCTTTTCCCTTCAGAGTGAGTGCTGGAAAAAGGAAAACCCCAGGCGGTCAGCTGAAGCGGACTCGACTGGGGAGATCTTTGGTTTTGACAGCCGATGCTTCTTCTCCAGTCTGACCAGACAGGTGTGTACACGTGTGTTTTCACGCGTGCATGTGAGTGTATTAATGTGTTTTATTTCCCTCTCATATTAAGTTGATTATAAAGTCATTTTTTTCTTCACTTGTCTCTTGTTTAGAACCGGAGTCAGTTTCCTTCGTTCATCAGCACAGTGGAGGGGCGCTGTTACAGACACAGGTGTACTGGACCAAACAGGTACCAAATCCACGTGTCAGGCTCTGAGTGGGTGGAGTGTCCAGCAGGGGGAAGCATTCAGGTAATGACATAAAAAAAATACAGAAACAGAAGCTTTTAATTGTTAACAGTTTTAAAGATTGATAATTTACATTTAGACAAGATTTGGTGTGAATGACAAAACAGGTTACTCAATCTGAGTAATTCCCATATTTAAACACCATGCACCATTAAAAACAGCAGCTGATTTATTGCCTTTCTAAAGTAATAGTGTAATGTTTGTATGTAGTGAAGCATGTCTTGTGTTAAATGTGCAGTCTATTTAATGTAACCAGATGTAATCTAATGTCTTTTGTGTTTTTTTACGGTCAGATTGAAGGATACCAGGGTTCAGTTTCCTGTCCTGACAGGAGGTTGTGTCTGTACTCTGACATCACTCCTCCTTCAGACGCCGTCGATACATTTCCTGCTTCCATCATCAGGTGATTGTGATTCTAAACAAGCAACAACACTCGCACTTTCTATCAACTTTGAGCTCGTTCTAACTTCACTGTATTTCTTTTTTGGTCAGAGATCCATATGGGACTTTAACTTCAGCCCAGACCTGGACCTCTTTGTCCTTCGGTGTCAAAACATCTCTCAGCATCACTGCTGCCGTGTGTCTCCTGGCTGCAGTCTTGGTGTCTTACAGAAAATGTTGCTCCTGCAGGATCAGGATCCACACCAGCACAGATGAACACAGTAATCTGTAGGAAACACAGCCTCTAAAACCGGCTTTATAAACTTTAATTGTTCTATAATTATGTTTGTCTCTTCTTAGTAATTTATCTGAAGGCTGTGTTGTAATTGTAGAGTTATTCAGTCAGAGAAAAAATGCCTTTTTATGACAATTTTTATTGAACAGAGTAATGTGAAAACATAAAGATAACCTGTTGTGGTCAAACGCAGCTCAAAAATATCAATCAGCTGGTTTCTCACCCTACATACATTATATTGATCCGAAATGATACCAAAAAAACATAATGAGGAAACATGGCCAAACCAAAAAACAGTATCTATATATATATGTATGACCCTAACAGAAAAACTAAGATGAAAATTATAAATGAAGTGAAATTAAACTCAATTTGGAGCATAATATTATTCCCAATTGGAATTGATGGTGAAAGAGATAAAACTTGAAGTCAGTATGAAATATTTTAAAATAATGATTGCACTCAGTGAATGTTTATTTATTATTTTGGTTAGTTAATTCTTTCACACATCATCTTATTTCCTCTTCCATTCTGGTATAGAGGTCTGTCTTGGGGCGACACCATCGATGCAAGCAATGAAAAATGAACCACAGACTGCAGAGAGCTTCAAGCACACAAAACAGAACTCCACCTTACACCGGGTACAGACGATGTTTTTGCATTTAATTGTGCTGTGCTCGATCAGAAACCCACAGGTGGGACAGGCACGGACAGAGGGACAGCCGGTCACCATCTTAACATCCTTGAAGGTGATCTCGGGACACTTTCTCAGGATTTCCAGTGGCTGATTAGCGCATTCAGGGTTTGCACAGTGGTCGTCATGTTCAGATGGACCTGTCCATTTCTTCAAACACTGCCAGCAGAATTCGTAAGCCCTTCCTTTGTTACGTGTGCACACTGTGCAGAAAACCCTCAGGTTGTTCTGGTCCTCTCTCACCACTAAACTCTTGCAGCCGGGACACTGTTGAGTAAATTTGGTTAAAAATCAAACAAATAATAAAAACATCTTCAGTATGAATGCACAATATCTCTTAGAACCTGTGATTGGTAGATACTTACTTTTTTGGCATCCAAATGATCTTTGGCGACTCTATTGAACATTCTTCTCTCAATGTATGTTGTTTCTGCAGGAGTCAGCAGAGCCATTTTGCAAACCTCTTCAAATGACCACACAGCATCACAAAGGCCACAAACAAACTGCATCTTACCCTTGAGAATTAAAGAGAAAATCAATCAAATGTACTTAATTGCCACTTTTGCTTACTTTTTTACCACCATGAATTAAGTGACAGATGAAGAGCTGAAAAGAAGTCCTTAATGTTATCAAATAATAGACACTTAAAATCCTCATGCCTTAAGAGACACGAAGTGGATTCAAACAAAAAATAAAAAGTAAATCTACTGCTCATAGTTCATAAGATCCATAGCTCTAGAACAAGCCTGACAATCAACCTCATAGTTGTTTTCCAGTTTTGAAAATGTGGAGAAACATAACAAAATAATAGTTTTCTAATACCTCGTCCAGCTGCCAGAGACACCAGTTGATGAGAGACGTTGGAGTCACAGTATGACCACAGGACATCTTTGCTCTGAGAGACTTGTAGTCATTGAGCTCAACTAGAGGAGAAAAAGAGCAACAGACAGTGGTAGTTAGTTTTGTATTTAAAGAATGACACCCAACAAGGTGTCAGGTCAGGTATCAGGAATTTATGAACGGAGAGGAGATCAGGACAGCTGTTTTTCAGAGTCTAAAGTCCCTTCATGAAGAACACCTTGAAGTGCATCATTTACCTTATACCACGGTCGATTGCTAAACAGGATAAGGCATACTGCTGCCTGTAGTTAACATTAACTCTGTTTTCCTGCTCACGCCTCAGGGTTTGACTTATTCCTGAAAAAAGGACATATCCCAAAATGTTCTGCTGCAATGAAAACATTAAACACTTCTTCTGTGAGTAGGCTATAGCAACAAAATACAAAGGGCTGTAGGCTGCTTTACAATTACAACTTTACAACTAGGCTATCGATTGTTCAGTAGCCTTATTAACTGAAAACCTCCAAATAACCTTAAAATATTAAGTATAGGCTAATTCACCTTATTATAGGCTATATGTTTAATAAAATTTAGATTAATTTGGGGGTTCTGTTCTCTTACAATCCATTTGATCTTCTCCATCGACGAATGTAAACCTTGTGTCATTTGGGTCGTAACACCTCTCCTCCTGTTCAGCTGTCAAAGTGTTTGGCCAATTCTCTGGTTCTGAATAATCATTTGGTCCAGTTTTCAAATTGTCCGATGAGTTACTTGGTTCAACATTAACCTTTGATGGAGTAAATGTTGTCCTCACTCTAGGTCGTAGCGCCGCGTTCGCAATTAATGCATATCCTCTGTGTGCAGCTGGGTAGCTTGATTCTGTCTCCGTTTCCAAAGGTCTTCTCCTGGGAATAGTTTCCATATTGTCCGATGAGTTACTTGGTTCAGCATTAAACTTTGATGGAGTAAATGTTGTCCTCGCATTGGGTCGCAGCGCCGTGTTCGCAATTAATGCATATCCTCTTTGTGCAGCTGGGTTGCTTGATCCTGTCTTTATTTCCAAAGGTATTCTCATGGGAGCAGTTTCCATATTGTTCGATGAGTTACTTGGTTCAGCATTAAACTTTGATGGAGTAAATGTTGTCCTCGCATTGGGTCGTAGCGCCGTGTTCGCAATTAATGCATATCCTCTGTGTGCAGCTGGGTTGCTTGATTCTGTCCTTATTTCCAAAGGTATTCTCATGGGAGCAGTTTCCATATTGTTCGATGAGTTACTTGGTTCAGCAGTTCCAAATTGTCTGGTGTGTGTTGGTTTCGGAGAACTTCGTTGACGTGACGGCTTGTTCCCCATCTCGACTCGGTCTCAACAACGGATAGCTCCAGCTGGTTATTCACCTGTTAGTCACATGATGACTAAGGTAAAGTTAGAAATATTCACAGGCTATTAGGCTGTTAGTTAGGCTATTCACAGATTCGGCTTTCCCGGATCAATAATTCATCAGCGGAACATTGCTTTTACAAAACCGACACCTCTCGAGCTATATTCGTATTTTCTTCAAAACGAGCCGTCCTCTGCGCTGGGGAACTTGCATTGACCTGTACGCAGAGCCGGCTGGTGAGCGAATGCGCAGGGACCGTCTGCAAATTACAATACCGCAAAAATATGATACATAAATATTCAATAACTTCACTCAGGAGAGGTGCAGTGTCATGAAAATCATTTTACACATATGTGATCTCACGTTTTCCATACTAAATTTCTCAGATTGGAAAATAATACTTAAAAAAAACAAAAACCCATTATGAATAAATGTCCTCCTGCTTTATAAACTACATCACATTGCTTTGGATAAAGGGCTTTCATGTAATTTCAGTGATTTTTTTTATCATTAAATTTGGTAATAAAATATGTAATAACTGTACTATAACATGTTGTAGTGCCATCAAACTCACAGCACACATAAACCATGTACTCTTGATTATACAAAAAGCCGAACTCTGTGAATATATTTCTAACTTTACCGAAGTCACATGATGTCCAATCACCTCGTGACATAACTTCTCAAATCAGATATCCTACACACCCTCGTTAACCTTTTAAATTCACTGGGATCGTTTGCAGTTGGACACGTCTCTCGCAGTGCTCTGATCTGGCTTGGTTGCAAAATGGGGATCCAGGTGAATGTACACGGTCCCAGAGGAGAAGAAAAGATCATCGATCTGTGTGACAACATTGAGCAGATGAAGAACATCACTGTGAAGCAGCTTAAAGAGAAAATCAGACGCGACCTCAGGATAAGTACGTCTCACTTCATTTTCAGTAGTAGTAGTAGTCCCCTATTTCTTAATTGTTATATGACTATTATAACATAGGCCTACCCACGCGGAAAAATACATTTGTTTTTCTGACAGATCAGAAAACATTTATCGTTTTATTAGCCTTAAACTTCTGAATGTGTTTATCTATAAAAGCCAGACCTGAGTTATTTTTATTTCTGCACAGAGGATGATGTCCGGATTGTGTTCCGAGCCGAAACCCTGGAGGAGTCAACTCTGGTGATGGATTACGGGATCCGTCACCTTTCTACCATCCACACTCTTATACTTCTGCCCGGAGGAAACTGATGTGGAACCATTGACTGTGTATCAAAATAATATAAATGTGGAAAAGACAAAGAAGAAAAAAACACAAAGACTCTGAACTACACTGCTGTCATATGTTCCATATGAACTGCAGGAAAATAAATTGTTGAATTTCCCTTCTCTTAAAACCTCTTTGTTTTGGATTTGTCATAAAATCAATACTCTGAATATGTAGGCCTGTACATATCCTACGTTTCACAGCATTTGAATGTTACAGTCTAGATTACATGGAAGTAGTCTAAATGCAGTAAAATGACAATAAAAATGACGCAAATGACCCCAAGCTATAAATCTCTTTATTGTTGAGGTTTCAGAATGGAGATAGCCTAAAACATAATAAGATTTACTTCATTGATCCCCGCAAGGGTTTGTATATGCACACAAACAGGATCCTATGGACATGCACACTAAGGGAGAGATGTCAGAGTGACGGAGTGGCACACAGCGGGTGCTCCTGAGCTGGTGGTGGGGAGGGGGTTTGGTGCCTTGCTCAAGGGCAACTCGGCAGTGCTCGGTGATCTGGCACCTCTCCAGCTACCAGACCAACTTCCATGCTTGGTCCGCACCGGGACCAAGCGACCCGGCGACCCTCCGGTTCCCAACCCAAGTCCCTACAGACTGAGCTACTGCCGCCCAGTGGCTCAGTAACAGTGCTGGCTGTTCAGTTACTGTTATCATACACTATTTTAATTATTATTTTAGAACCATGCAATTGCTCAGGTTGAATCTGATTGAATCTAAAAACGTCTTTTAGCATGAACCAGAACAAGAGCTCTGTGTTTTAAACATTTTATTAAGAGTTCAGTTATTTGAATTTGTCTTTATTTTTCAGTTACAATTTTGTTAAAATTGTTTTCTCAATATATGACAATCATCCTGTGATTTCCATTTCCAAAATCATTTGAGCTGCATTTCATGTATGACAGCTTTTATAATGTACGTTAACAAAAACACACTGTAGGCCTACAGTACTTAATGTTATTAAAGCCTGCAGGGACAGAGAAGCAGTAAATACAATACAAATGATCTGTTTTCTCCTGCCTTGCAACAAAAATGGAAAAGATAATAAACTAAACTAAACTCAATGTCTGTTGACATCAATAACAGATGAAGAGAGGGCTTCTGCAGAAGAAGCCAAATTGTCATGTTATGTTACTGTACAGTAATGTATGAAGCAGCTGTGAATTAAATTCCCTTAACTTATGATGTGTTAAAAAAGAACTCAATGAATGAATTTTATGGTGACTTCCCCACATTAGTTGATGGTGAGCAGCAGGAATTAACGATACATCCTACATTCATTCATGCATCATGCATTAATTCAGCATCAATTAAGTATAACATTTGTATAATGATATAAAAGTTTACCCTGATTTAGTTTAATGCTTTTCATACTTTTGGATTTTAACACCAAAAAGGAAAGTACAGTTAAAAAGTACATCACTATTGTATTTCTTTAAAGTCAGAAAGGAGATATCCTGCTATTCCTCACAGAAGAAAACATATCAAAGATATATGAAACAAGGTTTTTAATAGACATAATTCATATGACAACTTGTTATATAACCACTGGAGTTTTGGCATGTGCAAAAACAAAAAAAAAAGGTAATGGAAAGAACGGTTGACATAAAAAAAAACAATTGTCAGGTGATTGTAACTCACCCTCAGGCATTTCCTCATTACTGGAATTAAAGGCAAAAATAGAACTAAAAAAGTTTGTTGTGCGTTAAGAAGGATATAATCAATAAAGATGTGTGAACAGGTGTGTCTTGATCGACATGAGAAAGTACCTTCACCTGAAAGTAGTTGAACAACATTCTGGCAGGTAAGTGGTTTATTGCTTATTATTTGTTCATTGTGTTTCAACACGAAATTATCTAAATTGTTAAACGTGAAAATAATTGAATAGATTATTTGAACAGTGACACATTTGTTTCTGTTTCCATCTTGTATATGCAAACATAAAACATGTTTACCAGTATTACCTGGGCACCTTTTTGTACCCTGCTAAAGTCAATTTTGTAACCTTTGAAAAGGCAGACATATTTGTTGTGATCAATTGAGGTACAAAAGTGTCACCTCTCACCAGAGATACAAGTTTGGTCTCTTTGAGGTAAAAACCACCAGGGTACATTGAAGTACCCCATATCAAGGACAAGCCAGTGGTGCCTTTAGGGTGCTGCCCCAGTGACGAGCCATTGTGCCCCAAAGGTATCAAATCAGTTCTCAAAGTGTACTGTTTTAATTGTTATTAGTTTATTAAGGTTTTTGTTTTTTATTGTATTTTCTCCTTTTCCCAGAATAAACCACCTACTTGCCAGAATGTTGTTCAACTACTTTCAGGTGAAGGTACTTCCTCATGTCGATCAAGACACACCTGTTCACACACCTTTATTTATAATATCCTTCTTAACGCACAACAAACTTTTTTAGTTCTATTTTTGCCTTTAATTCCAGTAATGAGGAAATGCCTGAGGGTGAGTTACAATCACCTGACAACACCTGCTTTGCTTTCTAGAATTGCAGGTTCATTTCTCGTCTCCTCGAAAAAACCTTTGTTTTTTCCCCCCGAAAAAATCTTTATTGAATCTGTTTTTAATAATAATATTAATAATATTAAACTTTAACTAATTAAGATCTTATTCTATATTTTTTGTATAATTTATACATAAAATATTGAATAAATGATTCCCATCCCACCCATTATTGACTGGTACTCCGACTCCTGAGTCATACATTAAGGTCAAATTAAAATGTAAAAATGATGTCAAATTATTATTTTTTTTTTGCTTACTCTATTTAAAGTCTTAAAATCAATTCCATGAAATATTACATTTCTGTATTATTTAAAATTTAACTTTAAATAAAATATATTTTTTGTCTGTCCGTATGTTCGCGTCAACTCTGTTACCTCTGTTATAAAACTGCATTAAATCACCAAAGTGTTCACATAAAACGCATTTGACCAGCGCACAGTGATGTCACTTCCTGTGGCGGGAAACCTCTGGAAGACAGTGAGGTATGTCCATGTTTCTTCTCTCATTATTTCGTAATATGTTGAGAAATCATCAACAGTAGATTAATTATTCGTCAAATCTGTTGTGTTAATATTCAGTGATTATCTCAGTGAATTGATATATATATGATGAAAATCTATTAAATTTGGGTTTAAGAAATGTTAGCTGATATCTGGTGTGAGGTTAGCATATGGAGTAAAAGTACAAAATGGTGGAAAAACTCTGTTACTGTCAACTCTGTTTATGTTTTAAACAATTTGAT